GTGGGGACACCGGCTGCGAAATGGAAGCTGATCTGATGGAGGAACAAGGTTTGGCCCTTTGGGTAGCTCATGAGAGCACCTGCAGTTTGGTCTGCTGGGCAGCGCTCCCTTTGAAGGGGACACTTCACCCATGCGTGGTACAGCCGGTGCTTTTGGCACGTGGCAGTGGCAGTAATTGCTGGGGGACATGCCATGGCTCTGCTGGAGCAGAAATCATCTGCCTGGGGGCTGATGTCCTGGGGGTCTCTGGAGCCATATCCCAGAGCGACCCGGGAGCGCGTTGTCATGCAGCTGCCATCGGACAGGCTTTTGGTGAGGCTCAGCAAGTGCAGGGAGAGCTGCATCCCGCCCGGCTGCTGCGGCTTCCTGGGGAGCCCTCCAGCTCTGCCCAAGCTGACTTTAAACCCTGTGGGGGCGGCAGGAAGCTGTGGGAGAAGCCACTGTCTCCAGAGCCAGGTTGAAGGTATTTCTGACAGCCAGTGCGCAGCGGGGGAGCGCAGCCACGGCCAGAGGTGGGTGCGGGCTGCTTGGGTGCTGAAGCGAGACTGGGGACAGGTTGCTGCCTGGGAGCAGCATCGTGGAGCAGAAAGCCCAAGCCACGGTGCGGGTGGCATTGCCCTGCTCCGACCAAGGACTTACTGCTCCTGGCCCGGGATGTGTGTGCAGGGCCAGGAGCGAGGACCCCCATCGTCTGCCTGCCAGGGAGCACCGTGTGCAGCTCAGCAGGACCTTTGGGGACCTCAGGCATGGGAACACCATGTGAAACTAGCACGGAAATAATTAACACATCCTCTGCCAGTCCAGGGATGGGGTTCGGGAGTGTGTCAGAGAAAGGCTCTTCTCTGCAGAGACCCCGGTGGGCAGCAGCGTCCAAGGGCAGAAACCCTGCAGGGCATCTGTGGGCTGTGGTGGCTTCAGGTGTTGGGAGGTGGAAAGTGGCTTAGCTCTTGCAGTTAGGCCTTCTACATTTGTTTAATGGCTTTCCTGAATCTGAGTGAAAATGGCCGAGAGGGGTTAGGCACAGGAATCTGTTCTGACTTTGTTTTGCTTTGTCTGAGATTGCTTCAGCCTTGGCCTCACCTGCACATCCAGAGCAGCCATCTGAGGGATTTCCCCATGAGATGCTGGTCTGTGCCGGGGGGCAGAGCTGGGCAGCCCAGGACCTTCTTGGCCAGAGGCTGTGAAAGGTTTTATTTAGCTTATCGAAGAGGAAGTAGTGTGTGTTTGTGCTCTGAAGGGCAGCAACCTGCAGCCTGGGAGAGGCAGGGGCTTGGGGCAGCCCCAGCACCAGGATCTGACCCCTCCTGAAGAGAGCAGAGGGGATCGCTGGGGTGGCATCGTGCAGGGAGAGGAGCTGCAGCAGGCTCCCTGTCACTCCCCGCAGCTGCTGTTTGCTGCCTTTCCAACACCTCAGCTGTGTTTTACGCATCCCGGATCCAACCTGGCAGGTTAAACAGTGTGCTTATCCACCAGCAAATAAATGTATGCAAAAGCCTGGATGCCTTCCAGTGAGGGAGGCCTGTTTCAGGTGAGCGAGTCCTGCTCCCACGCTGTCCTTAGCCAGGTTGCTCGGTTCTTCAATAAGCCGGCAGCATCCAGGTGCAAATACCACTCACAGAAAATGGGAACAAAGCTCTGACCCCCAGGTACGGAGCCTCTGCCTGCCTGGGACGGTGGCTGTCCCTGTCCTGCCCTGGTCGGGGAACAGAGGCTCCACGCTTGTCCCGGTCCCCACTTGGGGAGAGATGTGTGTGTCTGCGCCCGTGCTGAGGGCGAGCACGTTTGCAGCCCAGGCTGCCGCGGGGGTGATCTCTGCAGCACCAGCAGCCCCCAGCCCGCAGGTGCCAGCAAAAGCCCCGAGTCTCTGCCCAGCGCAAAAGGGGTTGGTTTGCTGCTTTGCCCGTGATGGAGACTGGCTGACCGGAGGAAAGGAACAGTTGGCAGAATTTGGGCAGTTGCGGTGCTAGAGGTGGAGGATGGTTGGCAAGGCCAGGCAGGGACACCAGCTGTGGAGGGAGAAGTGATCTCGGGGCTGGAAACCAAAGCTGCTGCCCAGGAACCATTTAGGGCTCTGGGTTTTGGGCCCGTGGTGACCGGTGGTTGCGTGTCTGTGCTATCACAGGACTGTGCTCAGCCCTGTTAGGGGATGCCCTGGCTCTTGGGGAGCCTCCTGACCGTCCTGGATGTGCCAAACCCCGGGCAAGCACAGCTCGGTAGCAGACGGTGGGCCCCAGGGTGTGATTGCACATCCATCTGCCCGTGCAGCTCGTTCCTCGGGGCCAGGAGCAGACTGTGAGTGGAGGGAGCCAAGTGCTCTGCGCCTTGTCATATCTGGGCATTTTAATTAGAGAGGTGCAGGCCCGGGGTGCGGTTTGGCTGGGGCAGAGCGGGAGGGAGCCTGGCGTCAGCGGGTGCTGCGGGGCCTGTGCGTCAGCGGGTGCTGCGGGCCCTGTGGCACCCCACCTCCTGAGCTGGCACAGCACGTGTAAGCCCTAACACTGGCCCGCGGGCACCGGCCTCCTGCCCCTCCGGGTGCCACCGTACCGGGAGGTACCCAGGCATGCAGCCAGCCCTGTCCCGCACTTCACATGCACCGGCTGCTCTTCCTACTGATTCAGAGCATCCTTTCCTCTCCTGGACACGTTTTGAGCAGAGATCCTGACACAGGACAAGGCAGGCTCCCTGGCAGGATGCGCCCCAGGTGGAGTCTGGTCTCTGCTGGGGGAAGCCCGGAGCTGGGGGCTCTGACCAACGCGCTGCCGGGCTGCTCCCTGCAAGGCAAAACTCCTCCTGTGGACCTGCGACTGCTCTGATTTACTCTGTGCGTTTGCAGGGAGCTAGAGGGAGGTTTGGTGTGAATGAGCCGGCTTCTTCCTCTAGCCTGAAATTTGGGTCACGCAAGCCGACACAGCAGAGCTGTGAGAGATGTAGTTCATCCTCGGTTCAAGCCCAAGCAAGATTTGATTTCCAAGGTGCAACTGTTGATGGTTCAGATGGTCCGTCTGAGCCGCTGTTTCATTAGCAGATCGGCACGGGGAAAGAGGTGAGAGGGGTTTTTCCCCTCCCTGATCAGCTCCCACATTACTAATGTTCCTCTCTGGCCCGCTGCTAATTTTGACGCTGCCCTAAATAGAAGCTGAGTGCATCTCATCTGCTTCGCTTAGCATACGGGAAAATTGTTTCCCTTCATTTACTGAATCCAACTTGCGGCTTTAACCCTGTCAGCACAAGGCTCTCCCCAGCCCAGCCCTCCCTTGAAGGGCTTCCCGTACCTCTGTCCTGGTGAAGAGCTCTCTGCTGCGAACGGCACCACGCATGGGAGGAGGAGGAGGGCTCCCGGGCAGCCCAGCATGGCCGCTGGCAGAGCTGGGAGAGGGGCTTTGCTTCATCAACAGCCAAGGAGAGAGAGCCCTTTCTCCGGTGAAAGGCCTGGCACCCCAGCCCGGCTCTCCGTGTGCTCTCTCCGGCGGGGGGTGCGGCTCCCCAGGAGGACCCAGTGCCCCTGCCCAGACTGGCCTTCCCCAGCCCCGTGCTGGAGATAGCTCAGCACAGGCAGACCCGCTTACAGGAGTTTTTGGTTGGTTTCTGTCGTGGTATTTTTTCCAGCACCTGGTGGGACCAGGTCAGCACGCAGGGACCCTTCCTGAGCCTGGCAGGTGCCCCTCTTACCGCTGTCTAATTTTATATCCTGTTCCAAGTGGCTCCTTGGAAAGATCTGCTGTTCCTACTGCACCAGCCGCTCCAGAGCAGGGCTCTGGGTTCGCTCTCCCAGCACAGGGCACGCAGCCCCTCGCTGCGCTGAACTGGACACAACTCAGCGCTTTTGAAAGGCTGCCTTGAACGTGAACCCTTCTGCAGTGTGACTTAAACACATCACTGTCTAGTGCAAGGTGCTTATTTGGGGCTCTTGTGCAAGAACCGTTTTCCGGAAAAACTATAATTTTGTGTCATTTGCAGCTCGGTGACTGTTACAAGTGGTGTGCTGAGGACACGGGAGCGCCGAAAAGAAGCACTGGGAGTGCAGGGGGCAGCGGCCTGCAAAGGTTAAATTTAGCTGGTTAGAAAGGACGGCTGAGTGCTGGCATGCCTGAGCCTCAGCTGGGCACACAACAACCCTTCAGGCAGGGCGTCCGCACCGTTCCCCCTCGTCCCTCGCACTCCTGACCACAATCCCTCTGAGCCCACCCCTTTGCCAGCCCAGAAGCTCCTCTTCCCCGCGGAGCTGTGCCAGGG